CAGTAGATGCTTGAGGAATACTTGTAGGATGAATAAGTGAATGGAAAGCCACGTGAATCGCCCGTCACAGGACCCCCACCCCGAGCAGCTCCCTGCCAGAACCCAGTACCTCCCATGATGCAGAGCTGGGAGGAGCTGGGCCTGCAGGACCCTGGGCCCAAATCATCTATCAGCACTGCGTAGGGGTGGAGGGCAGCTTGCTTCACAGGAAGGCTTCTCCGGCCTGGGGGACATTTCTTCAAAGGTTAGAGCCTGCCAGGCTCTGGCTGAGATTTATTTATTTATTCTCCTTGCTCCATCGGCAGCACCAAAGCCATGCTGACTACCTCCCGGCTTCCTGTTCAGTATTCTGAGTCTCCTAGGCCTCCAGCACTGAATCCTGTCTCCGGACACTGGGCTACTGAGCAGCAGGCATCCAAATAAACACAAGGTTTCCTGGAGCTGGGGACTGGCTCTGGGCTGGGAGCAGGGACCAGGGCTCTAGTCACCACTGGACCCTTCATTACAAACCTCTGGGTGAGTTATTTTCCTTCCCTGGGTCTTGGTTTACTCACCTTTGAAAAGAACTAATTTACACATTCATTGAACAAATATTTATTGAGCACTTATGTTGCAGATGCTGTTCCAGGCCCTGGAGGTACAGGAGTGAACACTGCAAATAAAGATCCCCACCCTAAAGGAGCTTTCATTCCAGCAGGAGAAAGCTGACCATAAAGAAACAAGAAGTAAACCATCCAGTATGTTGGAGAGTGATAGTTGCTATGGAGAAAATAAGGCAAAGAGGAATATAGGGTGTGTGTGTGTGTGTGTGTGTGTGTGTGTGTGTGTGTGTTGGGAGATGACATTTTATTATTATTTTAAATTTGTTTAGAGCTGGGACCCTGCTCTGTCGTCCAGGCTGGAGTGCAGGGGTGCAATCTCTGCTTGCGGCAGCCTTAGCCTCCTGGACTCAAATGATCCTCCTGCCTTAGCCTCCCAATAAACTAGGACAAGTTCATACCATCACCCCCTACACCCCCACCCATTTTAGATAAGATGTCCAGGTAAGGCTGCAATGAGAGGCGACATTTGAGAAAAGGTCTGAAGGAGATGAGGGAGGGAGCCATGTGGGTATCTGAGAGAAGGGGGAACTATAAGGGCAAAGGCCCTGAGGCAGAGCAGGCCCAATAGGTTTGCAGCCAGTGTGGCTGGAAATGCATGAGCAAGGGGTAGTGGGGCAATGGACCTGTGTTAGACAGGGACCCAACAGCAACCAGGTGGCACAGTGCCAGTGAGATGAGTTCCAAAGAAGGAAATTCAGCTGAAAGAGTGACTGAAGAGCTGTGACTGTCAGGATATTCACGAAGGTGTGGGCAGGCCATAGTGAGGCAGCAGGGAGTAGCTGCATGGGGAAGCTTACCTGTCCCTAAACCTTTAGGGGAAGAGAGGGAACAGGGACCTGGACCCGGTAGAGCCACAGGCTTGAAAGGGAGCACAACTATGGCTGAGCATGGCCTGGACCATGGCAACGCCAGGGAAGGAGAAGGGTGGGTGGAGGTAAGAAATATTCAACTCCCTTTCCCTTCTGCCTGTCCATCTCCTGCCAGGGAGGACGACACAGGGGCCCAGGTGGTGCTGTGTCAGCTCATGCACAGGGCAGGGCAGGGAGAGCGGAAAGTGGATCTGGAGAGGAAAGTGGAGAATTTCCAGCACAAGGGAGACAGATCGTAGTGAGGTGGGTGGTGGGCAGGGCCTGTAGAGTCCTGTGGTCTTTGAAGGCCTGTGGCTTCCTGCAGAGATGGGAAGTCACAGGGAGTCTGGGCAAAAGAATGCGGAGGGAACTGTGTTGATAATGGAATCTAGGGAGGCAGGGGTGAAGCAGGGAGGTCCAACTGAAGATGAAGGCAGCTCTGCCCTCTTCCCTTCCCCTCACCATCCCCCCATCACCCACCCAGTGCCCAGCCACAACTCAAGAAGCACGGACGTGGCCTCTAGTACAGCTGTCGCCTGCCCCGTGGACCTGGTGGTGCTGCCCACACCTCCATCTGCCCTGCAGTGGGCTGGCTGAACTCTCAGTGCTTTCCTGGGTGGGCATCGGGAAGCCTGACTCACCCTAGCTTTCTTTCCTTCTTTTCTCTGAATGCTTAGTTTCTCCACCCAAAGACCACCCTTAAAGATCCTAGTGTTCCTCCTCTGTCCTTCAAGTCATGCCAGGAAATGCTCATAAATCCGGAGCCACCCACATGATGAGATTAGCATTCTGCTGGGTAGGTAGGGAGGCTGATGGCTGGGACTGGTTGGGGCTGGTCCAGAGGCTTGGGGTCTCCGGGAAAGGAGTTTATGTGGGGTCCACCCTGTTGGAGGGCAAAGGGATCCCTTGGATTTTAGTTTTCAGTACAGCTAAGTCCAAGGGAGCTCAGAGATGCAGATTCTGGTGCTGTGGGCTTTGACCCAGACCAGCTATGGGACCCACTCTCTGGGCCACAGGGTTCCTCTGAAACATGAGGGTGTGGGAGTACCTTCTAGCTCTGGAAGACTTATTCCAGGAGTCCAATATTTCAGAACATTACACCTACCATCCCATGATTTCAACAGTCTATGTTTCCAAATACTTTACATGTGGAGGCTCATTTATTTTTCTTCAGAGCTCTGTGAGGACAGCATTATTGAAAACCCAAGGCTCAGAGCAGTAAGTGACATCCCTTGTTCCCCAGTGATGGGGCTCCATACCCAGGGCCTCAACTCTGCCCAGGCTTAATGTATCAAGTTCTCTCTGCTTCTGCTGTGAATCTTCTATTTCTATTCTTCAGTAACTACCTCTGATTTCGTAAACTGAACACACTCTGTCTACAGAGGAAAATAATAAAACATATTGGAAAGTCCCGGAGAATCACCTACACCAACTTATCCTCAATTATAAAGCTCTGAGCAACTTTAAGGTGATGGAGGAGATGACAGAAGGAACAGGTAATTATCATGTGGTAAGTGAATGATGAAACACAGAGGTTGGGGGCCTCAGAGGGGGTTTCTGACCCAGCCTGGGAGTCGGTGAGGGAATCACAGGCTTCAGCTGGGTTGTGAAGATGAGTAGCGTTGAGAAGGAAAGCGTTCACCGCAGGCTGTGCATGGTAGCTCACATCTGTAATCCCAGCACTTTGGGGGGCTGAGGCAGGAGGATCCCGTAAGGCCAGGAGTTTGACACAGGCCTGGGAAACACAGGGAGACCCCATCTCTAAAAACAACAACAACGAAGAGCCAGATATGGTGTCATGTGCCTGTAGTCCCAGCTACTCAGAAGGCTAAGGTGAGAGGATTGCTTGAGGCCAGGAGTTCAAGGCTGCAGTGAGCTATGATCTTACTACTATAGTGCAGCCTGGGCAACAGAGTGAGATTCTGTCTCAAAAGAAAAAACAAAGAAAGAAAGAAGAAGAAAGTGTTAACTGCAGAAGGATATGGAGGAGCATGGTGTGTTTAAAGATGAGCCAGCAGTCAGGGCTGGAAGACATCCAGTAGCGGAGGGTCTTCAATGTCATGCCATGGACCAGGCACTCAACCCAAGCAGCACACACGACCCTCTCTACCTGATCTTCAGACAGTGGACAAGTCACCTGTGGTGGTTGGAATGGATGAGAAATCAGAGACGAGCGGACTGAGGCCCATGGAGGGATAATGGTCTACACGGAAGGCGATCAGTCAGCGGTAGCCTTGGTTACCATTATCACTGTTATTGTTATGAAGCAGCTGCTTCCATTGGTTCGAAGGATGTCATTTTTACTTTTCCTGCTGTCTCAGACCTGCCCTGCTGACACAGCTGCCTAAACTTCAAAAGGCAAGTCTCCATTTTCATTTGCAAAATCAGTATGAAATTCCTAGAGGGCCCCTCTAATTCCTCTGGTCTGACCGCACAGCAATTACCAATTTGCAGAGGAGGGAGGGGGTCTCACAGGCCCTCCAGCAGTATGGGGACCTCTGCTCTGCCTTGGTCCTGGGCAGTAGCCAAGGAGGACTGGATTGGAGGGGGCACCTCCAGGTGGCCAGGGGTGGAAGGAGGAGTTGAGTGTGGGAGTGCTCAATACTGATGAGAGAAATCGTAACATGCCTCTCCATTCATCCACTAAGCCACCAGTTACCAGGCTTTCAGAGACAAACAGCAGCTGAAAGGGCAGAGATCTGACCCAGTTTCAAATCTAGGACCTGCTACATGCAGGCTGTGTGAAGTTCTTATTCTGGCTCTTTGGGGCAGGCCCTTCTCTTCCCTTTGCTGCGTCTCAGCTTACCCATCTGCCAAGTGGGGTGTATATTTGTCCTGCCTGCTTGAGACTAGCATTCTAAAAACCTCGTGGAGCAATACTGCCCTTCCTTAGGACACATACCCACACCCACACCCACACTTTAAGAAATCTCTGTTCCCTAAGCACTGGGGTGGGTCCCAGCTGCAGGAGATGTTCTGAAGAGAGGCTGGAATTCCGCATATGTGGATGAGATTTCCGTTCCCTCTTCAGTCTTCAGTATGGACTAGTGCTAGGCTTTGTGCTGGGTGCTGAGGCCATGGGACCAAATCAATACCCTATCCATCCTTAACGATGGATGGGTGGAGCAAGGGAGGAAGTTCCGGGAAGACTTGCGACAAGATCATGTAACATTCATTAAAGCTTGGGCTAAGGGATGGACAAGGTGCTATGAGAGTCCAGCAAATGTGGAGGGCCACAAACAGGATTCACAAAGGAGGTGGCTCTGCAGCAATCCCCTGTGGGGGCATACATTTGCCACACAGAAGGGAAAGAAAAGGAATTCCAGGCCGTGTCAATAACCCATGCAGAGGAATGGGGGCTGGGGTGAAGCTGGCATGTTCAGGGCTGTGTCAGTGACAGCAGGGGCTGGAGTGCAGCCTGTGGCTGGTGGAGGTGGACATGGGATAGACCCAGAACAGGAAGTCGAGGTGGATCTGGGGCTCAGACTTTATGGACAAAGGGATGCCACTGAATTTATTAAGCAGGGAGTGATCATCAGGCTTTCTCTTTAGAAGCTGCCCCTGGCTGTTGCATTGAGAAAGGCTTTGAGGAACGCTGACTGTAGCAGGAGACATTCTTGGCTCTGGACAAGGAGAGGTGAGAAGGCCCCAGTTGGGCCCCAGGGGCTTTGGGGAGGCATGGAGGAAGGGAGGGGCAGGTTAGAATTCCAAATCTTTCCTGGCTTGAATGTTTTAGAACTCTCCAACTCAGGGCTCTGAGGCTTTCCTGTTGCCCATCACTGCCCCCCTCCTTCCCCGACTTTTGAGTCTGCGCCTTCCTTCCTCCCTTCCCTTTTAGGAATCCTTGAGCCCCACTCGAGGGAGCGGTTGGACAAAGGCAGATGAGACCCAGAATGGCAGGAAGAAAAGAAGACTGCGTGGGACCGGCCTGGGACTCTAGTGCTGACAGTCCAGGGAACAGACACTCCTCCCAGGGTGCATCAAAGGAGACAGCTGTGCAGAACTTGGCCTTGCAGACAAAACTAAAATGCAGTGCCAACTTCTCCTGCTTTTTGCCTGTCTGAAGTCACAGGAGACACTTCCTGGCAACAGGATGGGGACGCTGGAGACTCTGGCACTGCAAGAGACTGTCAGGCGAGGGACGGTCCTTAGATCCTGCATGGGGCTTCTCGTTGTGCAGAGAGAACGCTGAGCCCCAGAGAGGGCAGCAAAGTGCCCAAGGTCACACAGCAAGCCAGGGGATGCAGACGAAGGCAGGAACGATGGATCGGTCTGCTTCATTTGGGCAGCTCCGGTCTCCTATGCCCTCTTATCCCCTCCTTCCCCCTACACAGAAAGGGAAAATGTTTTTAGACCCAAGGCAAAAGAATGTGAAACTGAAATCTGAGCCTTGGGTCTTGGGAAAAGAACACAGGGAAGTCAGACACATTCTGGATGAGCACAGATCTGCTTACACTGCAGATGGGAAATACTCAGGGCTATCCAAGGCCTCCTTGTTGTGCAGGTCTGACCCGGGAGGGCGGGCTGTGTGTGAAGCGATGGGAGCAGAGAGGGGCCCTCGAAGGAGCAGGTTAAAAGGGCCAGTCTGCTTCCAGGATTCACCTTGGGCAGAGGGAGGACTGCTCCAGCCTTTTAGCTCCCTGCCCAGAATCTTCTCAAGGAGCCTTAGGCTCATGCAGGCATTCCAGCATGGATCTGCCACCAGGGACCCACCAGGTCAGAAGCAGGGGTCCCTGCTGGCCACCACTTGTCCACAGCCCAAGCACCGTCCTGCCTTACCTGGAAGCTCACCTCCTCTAAGAAGGCCTTCCCTTCTGCTCCAGCCTATATTTGTCTTCCTCTTGTGTGAACTCCTGCAACTGGGAAGCACAGCTGCAGGCCAGAGTTTCTTTCTACCTGGGGCGTCTGGGGCTCCAAGTGACTGACAGTTGTGTAAGAATGTGTGTGCACACATGTGTGGGCAAAAGAGAGATAGAGATGGTGACAGAGATAGATAGATAGATAGAGAGAGAGAGAGAGAGAGAGAGAGTGAGTCAGGAGTGTGGACTGTGCTTTGTGTTATCCCAGCCATCAAGAGACTCAACCACGGACTTATATTCACACATGTAACAAGCGTGGGTGTTTGTTCTTGGCCAGGTGCTGTGCAGGGTCCTGGGGAGACTGAGATTAATGGGACTTGGTTCCCTCCTTCCTGACACCAAGGAGCCCCATCAATCATTCTCCACGATCTGGTCTTAGACTGACTTGCCAGGCCCTTTGTGATCTGGTCTGGCTGTTCTTGTGTCTTCAATCTCACCCCCTTCCACGCTCTCTCTTTTACTTTTACTTCCCCTTGCTGCTGGAGGGTATGCACACATTGATCTCAGGCCCTGGGGCCCGGGGTCTGGGCTGTATCTTGAATCCTGAGCAGCCCTGACCTGAGGTAGGGCCCACTGGTTCTGGCCTAACGGGGAAAGGGGATGCTGTGTGTGGGTGAGACCATGGCACTCCCAGGCTTAAATCCCCCATGGCTCCCCTCTGCCCTGGGAATAACCATGAACTTCTTCAACATAAGCTCTCAGAAGTACTTGGCAGGGACCTGTCTGCCTCCCTGGACTCCTCCTGCTCCCTGACCTCCTTGCTTTGTGTTTTTACAATCTTTATGTGCTGTCCATATAGTTTTCTTGAATGTGCAATTTGTTTCCTGCTTCAGGACCTTTGCACATGCTGGTCCTTCTTCCCGGTATGCCCTTCCCATCATCTCTCCCCTTTGCCTCCTTAACCTCTAATATTTCGGACAGTTGCTCAAGCACCACCTCCTGCACACTCCTTCCCTGATCCCCCAGATCCGCTCAGGGGCCCCTGTTTGAAGCTCTCCTACACCCTGGATTCTTTCTTCAGAGTACTCATAATTGTTTGTCTTTATATGCTTATGAGGTTAATAATTTGTTCCATGACAGGGAGTATGTGAAGTCTGTCACAAGTATTTCATTCAAATCCTGCCAACTCTGTGAGGTGGTTCCCAATTTTATCCCTATTTTACAGGTGAGGCAAAGGAGGCACAGAGTGGTTAAGTGACCTTCCTGAGGTCACACAGCAAGTAAGTGGTGGATGAATGAAAATAGTCTAGCAATTTTAGCCATGTGCCAAACAGTCATCTACCGACTTCTCTGCAGACGTCATGAGAGTGGGGGCTATGTCAGTTTTACTCATTCTCATATCCCAGTACCTAGTCCAGGACCTGCCATTTGTAGCCACTCACTGAAGGGAAAAAGGGAATGGAGGAAGGAAGTGGGAAGGAAGGAAGAAGGGGAGGAGTGGCTGGTGTGCCAGCTGTTAGAGAGACATCCTTGAGCAGCCATTCCTACAGGAGCGACCTCCAGATGCCATGTTTTCCATCCCCCCCAATACCCCTGCTCCAGCTCCTGGATCCAGGAGAGCCAGTGTTCAAAACCAGTCAGTGTGCTTTCTCAAAAGAGGATGGAAGGAGCACACTGGGAACCAAGATGTGAGCCAGAGCACTCACATCTGGGTTCCCAGTGTGAAGCCAGGGCAAAAGCAACAGAACCTCGGGATTAGGGGACCCTGAAACCGTGCGTCCAGAGGTCTTCAGCTGTGGGACCTCCCTTTTCAAAATACCTTCCCTTCCCTCTACCTCCAGCTCCCACCTCATCTCCTTGGTGGACAAGCCTCAGCTACAGGGAAGGACTTGTCAGTGTAGTGACAGGGAACTCATCACCTGCCTGGCTGCTCCACGCCCTCTCAGGGCATGGATGTGGCTGTGAAGGGGACCTTCCTTCTCTGGTCCTGAAATCTGCACCCAGGAGGCTTCCCCTCTGCTGGGGGAGCCCAACTCCACCCAGCCTGCTCCCAGGACTGGCATGTGCTCCTCTAGGGATGAGGGCCCAGTCCCTTCAGCTGCTCACTGTGGGACGTACAAGGAGGCCTCACTGCCCTCTTTTGTGGCCAGGCTCCCGCCATCCCCAGCCGCACCCAGACCGGAGCTGTCCTGAGCCAGCCGCTATCAGGGCCGTGGGCCCAGGAGCAGGCCTGGGAGGTCAGCAAGCCTGGGAGGCTTCCACCCCAGCTCCTCCACCCCTCCTTTGAAGGGGATCAGGTTCCCCCACAAACATAATTGAACAAAAATATGAGAGAGAAAAGGTCTTTGTTCTCCCATTTACAGCGTCAGAAAATATGTAACAAATTAGCCGTTTATGAGGTAAGAGAGCAGGGCTGTGCGCTGCAGCGGCGAGGAGGGCTGCACATAAGGGGGCCTTTCAGCTGACTTCAGGGGTCGGCCAGGCCGGCGGGCGCTGCGGGGGACCGGCTCGCGCTGCGGGGGATCAGCTCTGCCCCAGGCCTGCCAGCACGGCCTGGCACCCATGGGATGGAGGGCTGGGAGGCCCTGGTTGACCTCTAGCTTGGACTCTGGGTGAGGCTTGGCAAATGGGGACGTGGTGCCCACCAGCCTAGGTGCACACAGCTCTTGGAAGTCAGGTGGCCAGGAGGGGGAGTGGGGACGGCAGGGATTCGTTCCCAAACATGCCACTCACCTGGTCCCCTGAGTAACCCAGAGTCCTTCTCCTTCTCGGGACCTGTTTTGCCATCTCTGACAAATGATCATTCACAAGGATCTCTAATAGTTTGTCCAATGCTCTTGGGGCACCAGTGTCCAACTGCACAGACTTCAATGGCTTCCCTGCGGGTTTCTCTGAACCTTAGGAGCCGGGAGGTGGTTCTTGGTATTACACATGATTTTCCTCTCAAACACCTTTGATTTTTCTTCCAAGGTTTGTCCAGTGGAAGCATCAGCCAGTCATTAATTCCAGGGGAGTGAGCACGTGGAACCAGAAGGGGTGGCTGGCCAGGCAGAGGCAGCCCCTCACCAGGGAGAGCCTTGCCACAGCCTTTAACTTGCTTCACTGGGTGTCCAGAATCACACGGTGGGTGGAAAGAGAGCAGTTTGAATGACACCCGGTGGGCAGACAGTTTTGGTATTGAAGTGCTGGGATTTCACGTCCTCTGGATTGTCTCGCTGTGGCTCTGATGCCTTTGACATGAACAGCTCACAAGTCCATCACTCGCATTCTGTGGCTTCTGGCATCTCCCGATTTGGAGTTTCTGATTCTGTGGTTAGACCATATGTTTCCAGGGCCTGGGCTTTTCGTTCTTTCTAATTTTTTAAAAATGTATGATTATTGTCTAGAGACATTATTTTTAAAAAGTATAAACCATCCCAGTGCTGACAAGCCTGTTGTGGGAGGACTCAGTATGATAAGGCATCTCAGGGCACTAGCGTTTAGCCTCCAGTACAATCTGGCAGGACTAGGGCACAGGGCCAGCGGCCACCCTGCAGGCTCACAGGGACAGGACTCCGCTCTGCAGTGAGCCCCAGGGATGGGACTCTCCAGCACTTTTCCCTCCAGTCGCTCCAGGGCGGGAGAATCATGGCCCATGCCAGTGGAGTGTAAGGAATCCCCTGGAAAAGCAGGGTGCTTGAATATCCTGAGTGTTTGGTCTGCAGTCACAAACACATCGCTTTCCTGGATCTGATTTTATTTATTTTGATTGGATCTTTAACAGCTCTTTACAAGGCTGAAACTGAAGCCGCCTGAGGTCCCCGGGAGACTTGCTAAAACTTCAACTGCACCCAGTTTAGCAGAGCAACTTGAAAGTTAATCAGCGGTGAGGGACAATTTGCCTCATTATTTCCAGCCCTGGAATTTGGCGACAGATGGAATTTGGGGCCTGGTGTGGACACGGCAATGAACACAGCAAAGACTGTCGCCCCTTGGTATGGTCTTGTGGGGTCTGGGCCTGGACGGGCTGATATTCCCTCTGAAGATGGGCCATGCCAGGAAGGATTTCTGGCTTGAGGGAACAAGGGCAATAAGGCTGCCCCATCCCAGGTCCAGGCCAGTGTGGAGTAATCCTTAGATACACAATTCTGAGCATTATTCAGGCTGAGCCCTGCACTGGATTCTGGGGAAGCAGAGGTGGAATCTGATACAGTTGCATCCAATATAGGATGCAGACCAGAGACACTGGGGTAAATTCTCACAGGAGGGGAACACCTGTGGCTGGCACCTTCTGCATGAATCTGCAAAAGACAAATCTGCCCCGCTTGCCCTCACTTTCTCGATAAGGTCCACTCAGGCCCTTGACTTTAATGGTAACCCCCTCCCAGGCACTCCCACCTTCATACTCTGCCACACTCTCCATAGTACGTAGCACTGACCACCTTCTAACACACTATGTTAGTTCCTCGCTTATCATGTTTATTGTTTGTCACATCACCTTCCACAGGAAGGTAAGACTCTCCTCCCATGAGGGCAGGAATGCTTGTTTTGTTCATTACTGTATCTCCAGCCCCAGCACATAAAATGCGCTCAATAAATGTCGTGTGAACAAATGAATGAACTGTGTGGCCTTTTATTACCACTTACCAGTCCCAGGCCCTCCTATGCAAATGCAGTCCCCCTGAGCCTCCATCCTTTCAGCAGCTGGGTGCTGGTGCCTGGGGAGAAGGCAAGGCGGTGCTTACACAGCAAGTGCAATTGCTTACTTTACAGAAAAGCTCAGAGAGGGGCAGGGGCCTGTCCAAGGTCACATAGCACGAGAACACGTTTAGACAGACAGTGCGATATGCCTGGGCCTGGCCTACCCCAAGCTTAGTGAGGTACCAGGAAAGTGCCCCTAAAAGGAGGAAGTGGAAGCTCTCAGTGAGGTCAGCAGCAGTGGGCCTCAATAGGTGGGAATAGCAATGTTAAGGCAACAGATACCATTTATTCAATACTGAGAACTTCACACACACCACACATACACACACACAATCTTGCTTACTCTTCCCATAAACCAGGAAGGAATTACGATTTCAGTTTTTAAAACAATAAGACTATGGCTCAGAGAGGTCGAACAAGTTGCTAAGATCACTAGGGTGGTAGCAGGAAGTTCTGACCTCAAAGAGTTCTTTCCTTCCTCCTGGACCTTTGGACACCCACTGTCCTTGCATCCTCTGGGCATCTGTGTATCGTGATGGTGCCCTGTCTGGGTTCCCCTCCCCTTGATGCTGTCTTGCAGACCGTCCCCTTGCCCCATGAGCACAGGCTTTCACCCTCTGAGCTGAAAGGGCCTCCTGTTTCTCCCAGTAGTGTTCCAGAAATGCCAGGGCATCATTTTCACACGATGGTGCTACAGAGGCAGCAAGCCAGTCAGTGGCTACCCACCAGCGGCTCTTCTGTATAAGGCTCTGTGCTATGAAGTCTTGAGAGGTGGACAGAGAAACATATTAGCAGTAAGAGGCCCTGGGTTCAAGTCCCCCTATACATGGCTAGGGCCAATCAATTCACCTCTCTGAGTGTTCCACGTTCTCATCTGAAAAAATGGATATAAGAAATCCCAGGACTATTTGAGGAATGAGGAGGGGGTGCCCACAGGAGTCTAACTCAGCTACAGGACTTGGTTGTGGGAGCAGAAATGAACAGCCCCAGATATCAGGACTGGAAGGAACCCAATTGTTTCTCCAGGGCAGGAGTTGCCTTGGCAATGCCCCTGACAGGCAGATGCTCAGGGCTGTGCCATGCCTCTGTGGCAGGAGCTCAGTACTCTCAAAGCAGCCTGCATATCCTTGGACCACTCCCATATCTAGAATGCTTTTCACACTGAGCTTGACCCTGTCTGCCTGCCTCAGCCCAGCTCAGTGGCCCCTTAGGACTTGTCTGCACCCTGTGATCCTGGAAAGGCCTATAGAGATTTAGGGCAGTAACTACCAGTGTCAACCAGTCCTTCTCCAGCATGGATTCCAGTATACCCCTCAACCCCGGTCACCCTCTTGTATACCCTTCAGGCTGTCACCATCCCTCTTCAAAAGCAGCAGATGCAGATATTTGAGGAAAAAAAAATTCTACAGGGGCTGGAACAATGAGGCGCTGCTGATTAACTCTCAGCCAACCAGAAAACGTAATGAACCTCACTGCCTACCCATGCGGCCCTGGGTAATGTGTTCTCTCTCTCATAGACATTCACACATAGACGTGCACAAACACCTGCAAGCACACACTCTCAGTCATATTCATACTCTAAAACACACCACTGACATCTTACACAAAGGTAAGTTTCATGCACAGACACAAATAGATGTACACAGACCCCTAGGTGCGCACACACACGCACACACACACACACACACACACAAACACACATTCCTCCAGTGGAGATTCAGCTCACCCCCGAGACCTGACCAATCTACTACACATTGCTCTGGGTTCTCTTCCTCCTTCCCACACATCTGTGGGCTCGCTCTTGGGAAAGGACTCTTCGCCTTTCTACTCTGGGCATCTATAAGTCCCAGAAATTAGGCCCCTGCCTGGTTTTTAGGTTCTGGAGTGAAGTGCAGATACCACCTCAACTATCTTGGCTCTCAAACAGGCTTTTCAGTACAGCGCCGGCTGAGCTCTGAGCTTCCCTGTCACAGGGGTGATGAGGGGAGGAGGGCAGGTGGAGAATCAGGCTGTGGAATCAAATTCTGGCTTTGCCACTTGCTCACTGTGTGACTTTGGGCCAGTCCCTTGACCTCACTGATGGCATTTTCTCATCTGTAAAATGGGGATGTCTTTCTTGCAGGGCTGCTGTGAAAGTCGGAGATAACACACATACTATGCTCTTCATTTGTTAATAACTCTTTTAATCCTATAAGGTAGCTACTCTTATTATCCCCATTTCAAAGATGAGAAAACAGAAGTTAAATCACAATACATGGTTGTGATGATAATTTGTAGCATTGCCCTTTCCCAAGATGCCTTTACATTTTAGTTCTAGCAGCTGAGCATCAGGACACTAGTAATAACACACTTGCGAGTATTAGCAACTCCTGATCCAGGTGGTCTTGTAGAAGGCTGTGGCCCCAACCAGCATGTCATACAGAGAGAGTGCCGCCTGGCCACACCCTCCGCTCCTGGATTATCTGAGTACCTCCAAGCTGCCATCTTCCCTGAAGGCCTCTCATCCCAGGGGTGGACTCCTGAGAGAAGAGTGGTGATGGCGACATGATGCTGGTGAGGCATACAGGGCATTGAAGTGAGAGATGGGGCTGGCCCGGCAGATCCATCTGTGTGATAGGGTCTTGCCGTGCTCATGCATCCCCTGGGATGCCACAGCCTGGAGATGTGCTGCAGGCTGGGAAGGCAGAGGTACTGAAAGCGTAGCTGCACGGGGGAAGCAGAGGCAGAAAATCCGCCAAGCTGCTGCAGCGTCAGCACATTCTTGGAACAAATGTACTGAAAAGCTGGTCCTCCGATTCCACTTCCAAGTGAGAATCAGGACCTTGCTGCCCCAGCAGGGTCGCGCCTGGGTCACTGACTGGGGCTGGAGGCTTCTGGGGGAAGAGGAGAGACCTCAGAGCTCTGCCAGCTGCCATTCTACAGAGGCAAGCCCCTCTGGCCCCATCTGGCTTCCCTGACCCAGGCTGCTGGCCTCTGACTGCATTCCCCTAGTGACGGGGAGCTCATTAGGGGCTTTGGGGAAGGTTGTTCCTCTGTAGGCATGCCTGGTTCTAGAGAATGGATGTTTGTGTTTGATGGGGCTGTCGGAGCAGGGGGAGGTGCAGACAGATGGAGAGGAGAGAGGCACATCCTTGCTACAGACTGAGAATGGGGTAGTAAGAGAGAGGCCTTCAAGCCAGCTGAACAGGAAGGCAGATACTTTGTAACAGAGCAGCAGCATCAAGGCAGCAGAGGCCCGTAAAGATCCTCCGTCTAGTCTAACCCTCTAGGTTTTCACAACATGGAACCAAGGCCCAGTATCAAAGCCTGTCAATTCCTACTTCAGAACTCTTTCTGTGGGGTAGCCATGTAAGGGGTGAGATTTGAGGGCTCCAGGAATCACTACCAACCTCAACAGGCTCTTCTGGGGCCTGCCTGCGATGGCTCCTTGCTCCCTCTCTGTTGGGAAGGCGGTAGGTGCCTGGTAATGTGGACAGCTTCTTGGGTCCCCTGCCTGGGGGAATGGGTGTATCTGAAATCTGGAGGCCTGATTGCTGTCACTGGCCTTCAGAGGAAAGTTGGCAATTCTCTCATCCTTCCTGAGCCTGGATTTCCTCACAGTGAAGTGGGGGCTGCTTGTATCTTCTGCACAGGGTTGCTGTGAGGGTCAATGACACGTAAGGACATCACCCAGCACAGAGCCAGGCTCGCTTGCGTCCTCTTTCCTCTCTCCTTTTTTTTGGAGAAGGCAGTGCCGGGGCAGGCCCAGCTCCTTAGGCAACACAGATCAGTAAATCCAGTTCCCACCAATTCCACAGAGGCAGGTCTGCGGGAATCTTTCAGCAAAGTGAGCTACCAGCGCCCCCTCCACGGCCTGCAAATTCAACCCTGACCCTGGCGCCCACCTACTGACCACTCACTTTGTGCTGTACGTGCCCTTCGTCCCGTGCTCTAACTGGTCAGACTGGTCTAACAATCCTGTGGGTGGATGGGGTAAACATGCCCACTTCACAGATGAGGAAACTGAGGCCCAGGCACACAGTTCACCTGGTAGGCAGAGGAAGTGGCACTCAAACCCATGTTTGTCTGACTTCAAAGCCCATGCCCTATTCATTACGATCTCAAACTTGCTGGAAGCAGAGGACACAGGCAGAGAAGGCGTTCGTGGGAGAGAGGCCCCACAACCAAGAGGCTGAGGGCAGGTGCAGGATGAATTACTGAGGGTGACATTCGAGGCTCCTGGCCCTTTAATAGTTCCTTTCCTTCCTCTGTGTTCCATTGTTCCCAGGCCCAGAGCTGCCTGTGGAGCTGCTAATCATGGGCAGTTACCACAGTGGCACATCATAAATAGTCTGTAAAGGGCTCAGGGAGCTCAGCCCACACCCTCAGAGCCAGGCAGCACCCCCCAACATACGCACATCCACACAGCTGCCCACAGGAGGAGGGCAGCTCGGCCAGCACAGCCCTGGCTTTGCACTGTCTTCTTCATGGCCAGAAGTCCCTGCGACGAAGATGAACCGCCAGCCCAATTTTACCCACGGGGGATCGCAGGCTCAGAGAGAGGGGTGACTTTGCCAAGGTCACAGAGTGGGCTGTGGGAGGAGCAGGCCTGGATGTCTTTATTTCACAGAACGACATGAGCAGGAATAAAGGCAGGCCCCACTGTGCTTTCCAAAGCTCTTCCAAATCTGGGGTCTCGCTAATTCTCACAATAGCCATTTTGCAAATGCAAAGAGTAAGGCTCAGAGAAAGAAAGTCAAAGTCCATCACCAGCCCCGCTGATGGAATGACCTTCCCACAGCAAAACTCCAACTGCACTGCCTTGCTCCAAGCCCAGTGTGGCTCCCACTGCCTCTTTATCCTCCACAGCCTGTCACCTCCTTCTTATATTCACCATGCCCTCATTCACACCATGGTTCTGAAAAGCCAAATAACAA